AATGGGTTTAGGAAACCGCACAATTAGGTCTCCAGTCACACAGAGAATGTAGGATTAGTCAGGCTAACGCACGGTCATAAAACAGGCTCATCCTCATAGAACGGGCTCTGTTCCGACAGACCAGCTTTGGCGGCGAGTACTTTAAAGAAAACATTTATTTTGCACTGGCCTGAACCTCACCTGGTGGAAGAAAAGAAGCACTTTCAAGGAGGATTGGTCAAGGTTTGAAGGCCCCCAGCCTCTTTTCCCCGGGACTGGTAGGGAAACTTTGCCTTGGAGCGCCATCTAGAGGAAATTTCAGCACACGGGGCGTTCTGGGCTAGCTTGACTCAATAGTTGAGGTATAGTTTAAAAATTCTTTCTTTTTTTTTCTTTTTTTCTTTTCTTTTCTCTTTTCTTTCCTTTCATTTTCCTCCTTCCTTCCTTCCTTCCTTCCTTCCTTCCTTCCTTCCTTCCTTCCTTCCTTCCTTCCTTCCTTCCTTCCTTCTTTCCTTCCTTCCTTCCTTCCTCTCTTTCTCTCCTTCCCTCCCTCCGTCCCTTCCTTCCTGTTATTTTTGTCTGGATAACCCCAGCACTTGGGAAGTTGAGGCAAGATGATCAGAAGTTTAACCTAAAGTATGCCCAGAAAGCAGCAATGTAAAAAGCTGCCATGGGGCTGGGGCGGGGTGGAGAGGGGCTTGTGGAACACAGATGCTGTGTAGGTATAAATGGAGAATGGGGGGGGAGGATAACTGGGAAGAGGGGAGGGAAAGAAATGCAGAGGGAGAGGGAGAGAGGAGGGGTAAATACCATTAAGGGTGTTTTTAAAAGTCATAAGGAAATAGTATTTTCATATTTTCTTAAAATACACATACATGCATTCATGTGTAAACAACAGTTTACATGAAGATACATTACTTGGAGTGATAATGTTCCCTTAGGAGTGTTAGACTGTCTAACAAAACTCCCAGTGCCAGGCATGGGAAATTTCCCCTCGAGTTGTTGGTCAGAGGAGTTGAACAAACTCCCAAAATGACATAGCCTGTCACTGTAGCTCTCGGTTGCCTCCTACAGCCTGTAGGTAAGACCTCTTTCTGGAGACCCTACATACTTCAAATCCAGTGCTCAGTGAAATTGAGCTAGAACCGACCTGAAAGCCTCTGCTCTGAAAACTAGCTCTCACAGCATCTGGTATCTAAAAGTGCCATGCAAGTTGCCAAAGCAGAAAAACAATTAACAGTCCCACCCATGACTAAGCCTTCCAACCACAAAATGACTGGAACGTGACAAAATTTCCACAAGGGCACAATGGTGGCACTGATATCTTGGAGATAACCAACAGCTGTTTACTTGAACTTACGTCCTGCTTAAGAGGAAGGAATTCACACCCGCTACTGTAAACCTAGCCAACTACCAATGGCTTCAAGGTCATAGTCTCTAGAGGAGAACCCAATATGGCTGCTTTTCCTAACCAGTACAGTTCCAAACTGTGTTCTAAATGTGTGTCCTCACACCTACAGGTATAGCTCTCACTCCCCATCAAAGATGGTTCTTGAAGAGTACAAGAATCCACAACTGGTCAGAATGCTGGAAACAGCAGACAGTGGCCGTGCCCATCCACAACGAAAATGTCTATAGCACAACTCCTTCACCTAAGGCTCAGGGAATGTCTTGGACAAGGGAGCAGGAAGATTGTAAGAGCCAGAGCACCAAGATATCTGCTCTGAGATTGTGGCTTCCGTGCATGCCACGAAGCTGCACCCAGGAAATCCCAATAGTGCGGCTGCCCAAACAAGACCTGCTCGATGACACCCACGGACATGCCAGCTCGGATGAGAGGAGCTCCACAAGGCCCCACTTCCAGATGAAGAACTACAGGCAATTAGTGGTTCTGAGAGAGAGACAGACAGAGAGGGAGGGAGGGAGACAGACAGAGAGACTCAGTCTCCACCAAGGAGGAGTTGCCTGTTAGGTTAACCAATCCAAAGCAGTCAGCCTAAACATGTGCACGGACTAGCAACAGCATATGGACTCAGAAAGCTGTATATACAGTCAGAATTAATCACATAAGTGTAATTATGCAATTAAAGGAGAGGAGTCGTGAATCTGAGAGGGAGTAGGGGGCAAGGAAGTGTTCGAGGGAGGACCAGGAGGAATGGAAGTTATGTAAATACAATGTTCATGAATGAAAGTTTCAGAAAATTAAAAATTAACTAAAAATGATGTGAAATTGGGATGAGGGGAGGTGGCGAATATGCTGATAGGAGTCTGGAGGGGAAATGAGAAATGAATATACTCAAAATACATAGTGTGTGTGCCTGAAAATCTTAAAAATAATCAAAACATTATGTTTTTAAAAAGAAATTCAAGGGCATTACCATCCATATTGCTAGTGTAAGGCCAGCCTAGACTACATGAGACTCTGTCTCAAAAAAAAAAAAAAAAAAAAAAAAAAAGAGAATCTAGATTAAAGAAAAATTTTTGTTTTGGTTCCAACTTGTCAAACAGAATACATGGTCCTTTGAACGGAGACGGAATCCCCAAACAGTGAAGGACCTCAGGGGTCTTCCGGGGATGTGTGCAGCTCTGGTGCCCATACGTGGACATGACGTGTGTCCTTTGCCACAGGCTGAGATCATGTGTCAGAAACCAGGTTTGATGATTGAGTTAATTGCACTTTGACTGCATACCTCGAGCAGGCTCAGCTAGCCTCAGAACTGTTTTCCTGATTCAAAAAAAATTCTACTTCACGAGATTTTCCAAGATCAAGCTGAAAGAGATGCTCGTGTGAGAGAAAAGCAGAAGCTGGCGTTTCGGCCCGTTGTAACCCGTCACTAAGTTCAGTGGAAAGTAACGACTCTGCCAGGTGCTGCCATCTACTTCTATGTGCCGGAGGCTAAAATAAATCCACTGACATCTCCTTTCCACAGACTCCTCTCTGCACTCTGCGACCTCCTGCCCACCTCCCCCAGAGAACGACAACAGTGGACTCTTCTATTTTTGCAGCGGCATGAATACGAAAACAAAACCCAGACTTTTCCTAACAGTGACGCCCTTCAAGTTGCCAAGCGAAGACAAGAGTAATGGCACCCTTAAAATACCGTGAGAGGAGAATGCCCCCAATTACGTGGCGGAGGCAGGGGACATAGCTGGAAAGCTCAAGTTTTCCCTGCTTCTTAAGAGGTATCGAGACTGATGGTACTACAAAAATGTTCACCGATGGAAACTCAGTATTCGTCCTTTCTCATACCTGTGGGTGCACTTCGACCCCTCCAGGACTGTCAGGCGCCTTCTTTCCCAGAGGCTTGTCATAGAAGACCACCACCTTTCATATCTATAATGCACAGTGTCACAGACATTCCTGATTCCTTTCTCTGAGCACTATTTCTGCTTGCTTATTTTGACAGTCCCACGAACCCACAGGCTTCCCAAGACAACTAGCTAACAAGCATTTGCCTTCTGTGAGGCAGAGTCATGCACTCTGCACACAGAGAGTCTTTCTTGTCTACTGGGCTCTAGGGAAGTAGAACAAGATGAAGGTGGTGTTTTGTTTCCAAGCAATGGTGTCCACTGAGCCAAGTAAGCCACCTGGGTCAAAGCATTTTCCACCCATAAGTAACTTATCAGCTCCGAAGGGGCACACAGTAGAAGGCAGGGCTGTCCATCTTTCCACGGCAGTCTGCCTTGTCCTTCAGCAGAGGTGGACCCTCACAAGTTCCGAAGCAGAAAGCTAACATCTTTCTGTCTCGCCTCCTTACACACACTCGGGTTGAAGCCAGTCAAACATGGACTGCTGAGAGAGAGCGAGCGCATGCCAGAGGCCAGGTGTGCTGGGATATGGAGGCTGGTGACACACTGAAAGCTGTTGAAGGAACGAGGAACTGTCTCTGTCCTCAGGTGGCTTAGCAGAAGACAAGGGATTGGGAACGGAAGACACACGGTAGAAATGCAGCTGCCCCACGCTGGCATTATCGGGGAGGAAGGAATTATTTATGTGTTGGGAGAAAGCTGGGTTTTGTAGAAAACCGGCATTAGACAAGTCCCTTAAAGGCTGGGTGGAAGTTTAACGGCCAGAACGCAGGGTGAAGATTTCCGTGAAGAGGTAGAATACACCTGTTCATTTGGACCAAAAGGAAATAAATGCCTTTAGCCCAGAAGCCCCAATGTTATCTAAATTTTAAGATGGGTACAGAGGCAGTGGGTGTTTGTGTTGGTGTTTTAAGAGTCCAGACCCACCATTACTGTTTGCATCGTAAACATGTTTATATTTTCTCATACACATGAGCACATATCCATACATGTCTATGTTACAAAGCAGCAGAGAACCTAACATATTTAAGACAGAATACATTCTTCTTGGCTCTTTAACAGGGTAAGTAGGAGCCAGACAAACGTTTCTTGCAAGCAAATGGGAATGGGTAGAGGGTTTTGTTTTGATTCTTGCCATCAGCATTTGCTTTCGGAGTTAACCCCAAGGCTTGTCCCCGGCCTGGGGTGTTGGTGGTCTCTATAAATCACTCTAGCCGCTAACAATGTCCACTCTTACCCTTCCTTCTCCCAAGGCCTCACTGGGCATTTCCCCAAGCAAGTGTTCTTTCAGAATTCTGCATTCTCATGGATGATGCCCCCAGACCATCTTGGGTTTTTGCAACCACCCAATCTTATCCAGGGATTTCTTTGCTCTGTTACTTACTTTCATTTCCTCCACAAAGAAATTCCATTGAACACCCAGGCATTAGGGGGAGGGAGTAAGACTGGACATGGAAGCAGACTTACCAAAAGAGAACACTGAAAAGAGGCCCCGTCTTCACCCAGGGCTATCTGCCCACCTTAAGGAGTCAACGATGTTATAGCTTTATAGGCCAGAAACTGTCAAATATCTATTATTACCATAGCTAGGACAAGTGTGAGCAGCCATGAGATAGCCACAGGTAGATTTTCCAGAGAAATAGAAATGTACAGAAGTCAGGGAGTCCACGACAGACAGAAGGTGACCTTCCACCCCCAGCAAATACACTTACGGTCAGCATGGCGAACATCAGTTGGCATACGTTGAAGGCATGTCTCCAGTTGTGGTAGAGAACCATCCGATAGTTTTTCCTTACTGTCAGAAGCCACCTGCACAGGGTCTGAAATGGGAGGGGGAGGGTGTGTGAAGGAGTGCTCGTGCCCTCAAAACACCACTGTGACGCCCTGAGATCATCAAACTCCACGGGGCCTGGGCGGGCGGCTCAGTGGTTAAGCACCGACTGCTCCTGCGGCAGATCTGGGTCCAGTTCACAACCATCTGTGACTCTAGTCTGAGGGCACCCCATACTCTCTTCTGACCACCCTGGGGGGCAGGCATGCATGCAGTGGGCATCCATACAGGCAGGCAAAACAGCCATACACATGAAACAAGACAAGTCTAATAAAGAAATTTTTAACAAAACAAAACAAAAACCTAAACTTCCGCTGACACCCTGCCAGATTCTCACCGTACTTCCATAGTGTCCACAAGGCAGAGCAAGCGGCCACACCGTGCCTTTGGAAAGCCTCTGCCTCACAGTGGCCGCAACACTTGCCAGGTCTACTCCTTAGGTCATCCAACTCACACGCCTTACCTCATAGTCGATCTTGAATTTCTGTACCATTCCCAGCTCCATGAACATCCGGAGGGCAGCCGTGATCATGGCGTCAACATCAAGGGAAAAGTCGTCGAAATGGATGTCATCAATGGCCAGCTCTGACACCAGGGGGATGTTGGCTGCCTGCAAAACCGGAAGACATAAGCCAAGCCAAGCTCACTAGCTTCACCTAACCCTGTGTCCCTCTCTCTTCTGATTATCAGAGGTCCACATAAATCAGGCCTGACCTGTGCTTACACTCGGATACCGTGAAACTCTAAGCTATAAATGTCTTTTGTTTCTGAGCAGAAAATGCCTAAGAAATTGAAGTGGGGAGGGAGGAAGCTAATTAGAAGATAAAATATACACACTGGATTTCTGTACAGAATTCAAAATATACAATTGTCTAGCTTACTGGGACTGTGGCCATCCAATATATACTCTGACGCACATTGCTACACGCAGAAACATCTGGGTGACCAGCAGCTGTGAATTTTATTTGCTGCTTTGCAGAATGGAGGTGGGGATGCAGCTTCCACTCTTGTATCCGGTACCTTACAAAAAGACTCCATGTTATACACACCTCCTGTGTATTCAGAAGGGCAGAAGAGGGCAAACAGCTCATCTCCGGAGCAAAATATGCTGCGATGACAAAATAGCCCTGCCCGGAGAGTTAGCGCGGTTGCGGTGAAAAGACGGATTTTGCTGTGTTGTTCAGCAGGATACAGTGCAGTTCTAGTACTGGTCACACATATTCAGGAGTTTCTAACACCCCTGTTAGGTGGCCATCAATCACTTATCCCGCACAAACTTAAAGGAGAGGGAAATCAAATCCTTAAAAATCATTTGTTATGCCAGTTCCTTGGGTTTACCATGTCATTTTGGCCACTCGTGTGTGTGTGTGGGGGGGGGGGTTATTTTATGGCTTTCAAGTTACCGGAGACCACTGTGTGTTTGTGCTCCTAGTCTATTCACTGGGTATAAATTACCCTGGGAGTAATTTATGCCCTGGAACTACTTTGGCTAAGCAATTAAATCCAGCTCTGGTCACTCCAGGCATTCCAGAAGCCACATGATCAATCCTGCCCCTCCAACCCTGTGCTTTTCTGCAAAGGTTTACACACCTAAGCTCGATATACACTCTGGTTATTCCCCAGGCTGCAGAGGAACAATGAACAAACCTGTGCATCAGGACAATTAGGCTTCCATTTTGAAGCCTTTACTTCCACCATAATAATAATAATAATTCCCTCAGGCTTTACCAAACCGCTTTAGTGTCTGCAGATACTAGATTCCTGGAATTATAATGGTTTGTGAAGCCCGAACATAGTGCGAGGTGTCATCTTTGTGTGTATGTGTTCCTATGAAAGTGCTTAGTTTATGTATTTACTTTAAACCTTCTTCCTCAAAGTTAAAATAAATTCGTGTTAGTTTTTTTTCTAATAAATGTACAAAACAGTGGGTTTCATTATGAACGTCACACATTCATGTCAAGTGTTTTGCTCAGAGTCAACCCCTGTCCCATTATCCATTCCTTTCTCCCATCTCTCCCCCATCAGCCCTGCTCACCCCACTAACAGCCCCGCCTCCACTTTAGTGTTGCACATGTCTGTTTAAATCTGTGTTCCCACCCATGAGCAAACCCACACAGTATTTGTCTTCCTGAGTCTAGCTTATTTTGTTTAGCATGGTGGTTCTCAGTCCATTCAGTCTATTTTATTTATTTCTTATGTCTGTCTATTTATTTGTGACACGGTTTTATTCTTGCTCTGCGGTATTTGTGTGTGTACCCACTGTATGTGTGTGAGAGAGAGAGTATTCAGAGGTAGCCCCCCAGAGCTTGGCATCATGTCTCTATCCTCTCCACCTTACTATTTTGATAGACGGTCCATCTCTCAATAAAACCATCAGCTGGCTAGATCTGGCCAGTGACCTCCAGGAATACCCCACAACCTGTTTGTGACTGTGACTAAAGTTAAGAGCCGGGTGGCTTTTATGTGGGGCTGGGCATCCGAGCTCCCATCCTCATATCCTCACAGCAAGCACTAGTTCACGGAGCCACCTCCTAGCCCAGCTTCCTTTAGGACTGGAGGAAACTCCATGCCACCTTTTATCATTGTCCCCACAAGCCACATTGTATGTATCTGTTAGTCTGCTGACAGGCATTTAGGTTGATTCCATATCTTGGCTACTGTTCATAGCGCAGCAATAAACATGAGTAGACACGGATCTCTGTAGGATTAAGGACAGCAGGATTGGAAGCAAATCAGCTCCACCATGCTGTTACAAACAGACACAAGTCATTCCTCTGGCAAAAAGAAGTGTTTTCCCACACAGAGGCTCAGTTTCAATATCTAGATTTGTTTTAAATTTCACAAAACAAGGTAGTTGCAATTTTGTTACTTCTTACAATTTTGTTTTGTTTTGTTTTGTTTTAAGGATTATCTATCTCGTAAGTTCCCACCATTGAAGATAATGATCAGTCTGACTCATATGACATTTAACATAGTGGGTGCTGCTTTGCTGCCTCATGTACTAGCCTATTTCATTCATACATACACACACACACACATATATATACAAGCATGCATCCATACATATATACATACATGCATACAGGCATATATCATACAAGCATGCATGCATACATACATACATGCATACATACAATCTTTGTTTTGTTAGGTAATACCATTATTCCTACCTGCAAGACATTCATGGTTAATTCACGCAATGTGCTATGCCCAGCTGTCCACTCCTTGAGCTCGTTTTCAGTTCTATAGTAGTACTAGTTCTTCAGCCTACACCGGCCTCACACGGAGCAGAGGCTGGCCTTGAGCTCCTGGTCTTTCTGCCTTCACCTCGTGAGTGCTGGGACTGGTTATGTGCCACCATGCCAGGCTAACAGCCCTCTTTACTGTGTGCCTGTTGTCGATGTGACTGCCACCAGTTCAAACGTCTTGCCAATAAACTGGGAGAGCACTTGCTAACGAGAACATTGTTTCCTTTGAAAATGTCCGCTGCTTTGGGCTATGAACAGTCAGACTCCTGTGTCTTTGCTCTTGGGTTCTCCCGCTCCCTGGAGAATCCCCTGGAGCCTTGTGGGGAGCCTGTGGGGTCTGGGGAGCCTCAGTGTGGAACAGAATCTTCAGCCTGCCCTCCTCGGCACTGATGGCCCAGTGCAAAGATCCCTGGCTCTACCATAGTCGGAGGCTAGCCACCAGGCTCCACGGAATGGGACCGGGGTCCTGGACTCCGCTGCCCCTTAGAGTTCTGTTTTTCTGTCAGCAGCTCTGTTTCATTCTCACCTACAGAGGCACTCAGAGCCGACTCCAGAGCTGTTGGCAGAGAGGAATCTAGGGAATAAACCTGGTCTTTCCATCTCTGCATCGCTAGTGATTTTGACTTTCTTGGGTTTGCTGAGTTAAATTCCATTTATCCGTCTGTTCTCTAGGCTCCAAAACATCATTAGTAAGCTCTTCGTTGATTTATTTGGCCTTTGAGAATTTATGCCAAATCTCTCTATTACTATTTGAATAAGGTTTGGGGAGGAAACAAGAAAGACAAATAGTATAGCTAAGTGACTCTCTTAATCCATAAATTATCAAAAACTATTACCACTAAACGATACCTTTTACAAGGCCGGCTTGGGAAGGCGGAAGGAAGCCAGATTTAGCGTTCAGTCCCTTCTAGTACATGTGACCAGCGTCAGACCTGTGTATTGTGCCTGTGTGTTCAGTGAGAGTGGCCACACAGTAAGAACCAACAGAGCCCACACTGCTTCTCCTCAGGCAAGCTCCAGGTCAAGTCTGCTCCACTCACACCTTCACACTTTTTTTTAGTTAATTAATTTTTTTTTTTTTTGCACGTGGAGACTGCCAAGCATTGGAAAAGATCCTTTTCAATTTGTTCAAATTCACATGCAACCAGAAAACTGTCTTCCTAAGAGACAAAGGCACTATCCAAAATGACAGGATCTTTCCTGGTCTCTCTCTGCAGGAAAGCCTGTTTTGAGTTGAAACAGGGACCTGAACCCTCTTACCAACTGTCACCCAAGGAGCCTAAATGGCAATGGAGACATCACTGCTGCTCTCCCGGTGGCCCCTGTCTTCTGGTTATTAACAGCGTGGCCCTCTGTGCCATTATAAATCTCCTACCCTTCGAAAGCACTAAATTCACTTAATTATCTTAAAAATTAAGGAATATAGGCATTTTTTCATTATGAAATGTTAATGGAAAGGAAATAAGAACATTAGGTTGAGAAATGGAGGGTGACCTCTGGTTCACTAAGACCCAACCTTATTGACCTTGTCTTTTTTCCCTAATAGGTTGATTGATCCGCAGTTAAATCATAGGAGTCCATACATCACCCCAGGCCCTGCTGTAAACCTTTGCTGGCAGGTGCAGGTGCATAACACATTCCCCGACTTTCAGGAGCGAGCATTTTGGAGCATCTTACTGATTATGGGTAGTCCTCATCCATACATTCTTGTGTTCAAGAGCAGGTTCTCAACAATGAAGACGAGAAAGAGGGAGGCATCCTGAGGGGTCAGGTGTGGCGGTCTCACCGGCAGAAGGGACAGACGGCCTTCCATCTCCAAGTGTCCTGTGCCCCAGACACTTGCTCCCCATCCTGCCTGAGGAGCCCAGGATGGGCCCACATCTTCCAAGCCTATAATTACTCTAGCCGTATGATATTAACAAAACAAATCAAAGTCGATTTCTCAAAGTGTCAGTCTTTGGCTTTTAAATATTTATAAGGTGCCATATCCCTAAATCAAAGAGGAGTGTCACAATCCAAAATAACTACTGAATTAATAGCCAGGAAATAACATTTGGATAAAGAACCATTTAGTTTACTGCAGCAATAAATGAAAACACAGAATTGTGAGTCCTGAGGCTAATTTGAATAACGCTCAAGAAGTGAGACTGGGTGGGGGTACCTGGTGTTCTCTGACTGGTCCTCTTCTCTGTTTGGATCTTTACAGTTAAGTGCTTATCAAAAGGAGTCATCAACTGCCTGCTCTACAACTGAAAAAAAAAAAAAGCTTTACAAAGGAGCTATAAAATATAATCCTGGATCCCTTTGACACATGAATACTACATTTTGTGAGGCTCGGTAAATGGGAAGAAATAACAAAGTG